TAGAAAATTGACTATTTATTCCTACCGTTTGTCTACCCCAGCTCTTCACCAATTTCTAACTCATTAGTAAATGATATTTCTCAACCGAAAATGAGAATTTTGCCCAATGATGGCAAGTTCTTTAGTCCTCAAAGCAATTTTTGAATTACAGAGCTGCTACAGAACTGGTCACAGAATCCTTTCTGCCATGGAATCCACATTATATTAGTGAGTACACCCAAGAGAAAGGGCTGGGGAGAGGGGAGGAGGGTGAGAAACAATAACTTACTTCACAGTGAGTGGACCCAGAAGCATTTTTAGCATGAACCGTTTTTTGAGGCCATTAGCTCAGCACTCTATGCTGACAGTACTGGGAAGTGAAACTATTATCAATGGCTAAGGGTTTTAGTAGTGGTAGTTATCAGCAAAATTCCACAAGGCCTCAGAGATTGTTGAAGGTCACAGATATCCACACCACAGTAAAATGTAATCATTTAAAAAAGTCAGTTGGCCAACAGAAGGCCATTTATTTCATACATAGATTGTGTTAGTCGCTGCCCCCTGTGAATCTATAAATTAATGCATCCCTAACTCACTCTCATTTTTCAGCCTGGAGACTTACTTTAGCTCGGGACCCAGAGACCTCCTCTTTCCTGAAACAATCACTAAACCCTGGCCTACACTAGGGAGTTATTTTGAAATAACTCCCCCTTTTTTTGAAATGACAAGGAGAGTGTCCACACTACCAAGCCGATTATTTCAAAATAATGGGCTGGTCATTTTGAAAGAACTAATTCCCGCTTTTCATGGGGGAACAACACTTATTTTGAAATAGTGGGAGTGTGGATGCTCTACTGATGCTATTTTGAAATAATTACTCCCCAGAGTCAAAGTAATTACTCCCCAGTATTTCCTGGGGCTCTAAGTCAAGGTTTTGCATCCACGTTAAAGGAGCCTGCTTAAGACTAATTTCGAGGCTTCCCTACAGTGTGTACGCTCTATTTCAAAATAGTTATTTCCTGAGTTATTATTTCAAAATAAGTTATTTCAAAATAATTTCCTAGTGTAGACATGCCCTAAAAGAACACATTGGAGGGCTGCAGTTTAAAATCATATTTGAAGTAACATGACTGAATATTTCTTAGAAATGCCACAAAAACAATCCTTTAAAACTCAGATTCTACATAGTCCCTTGTGCAACAATCTTTTTATTCTTGACAGTATCAGAAAATTCTTTTAAGTGAATAGTTCTTCATACCCTTTTGCTAGACTACTGGTGAGTCTGTTTTGTACTGCTGTCCTTAGTGCTGAATGAGGCTTGGGACTGGCCCCTTATAAAAAATTGTTAATAATATGTCTGATAGTTTGCCCAAACTTTATTAAGCTACATGGCATGAAGAGTATTCTCCCTCTCTTCTTGCCTGTTATGCAATCAAGTCACTTCAGTTCAGTATGTCCCATTCTCCCCAAAAGTGGCAGCCCACTCAGAAAACACTGTGACACAGTTTATCCAGAAAAAGAGATCACTCCCAGCTGGAACATTTTTCAAGTCATATAATTAAAGTCATCCAAAAAAAGCAATTGTAGCTGGTGAAATTGAAAATCTGTGAAATAACACTCACTGCCTTCTGGCATTGCTTATAAGGAGCACAGGTAGCCTGTGCACATGTTCTAATAATACAGGGTATGTCTACACTTGCCCCCTAGTTCAAATGAGAGAGGCAAATGAAGCATACCGAAGTTGCTAATAAAGAGCGGGATTTAAATATCCCATGCTTTATTAGCATATTCATGGGCGGTCACCATTTTAAAAAGCCAGTAGCCCGAATTAACTCGCCTCGAAATAACTGTTACTCCTGTTGCATGAGGAGTGAAACGAGGTTTACTGGAGCGGTCGACAAAGACTTCCCTTTTCGACCGTGCCACGTCTAGACTGCCGTGCTGTGCCGGATCAGCTGATAGTCGGCACAGCGCGGCGGCCATTTTTATTTTAACAAAGCGGGAATTATTTAAATCCCCGCTTCACTGACTATGCCAGGTAAACTAGTTTACATGGCTCCATCAATGGAGCCATGTAGTCTAGACGTACGCTATGATTCTATGAGCTTTCATGGGTAAAATCCACTTCATCAGATGAATTAATCCACTCCAATTCATCTGATGAAGGGAGTTTTGCCTATGAAAGCTCATGATTCTATATCTTTTTCTTAGTATCTAAGGTGCCACTTGTTTTTATAGATCAAAGAAGCAGTTTATAGCAGCCATTAACACTTTCCAACCTAACAATACTCCTAAACCTTAGTGCTCCTTATTCTCCCAATACAATTTAAAAATACTGACACCTTGAATGGTTTGTCTCCCAAAGAGAAAGAAAACAATAAGAATGGGGGCAATGCGGAGGAAGAGAGGGCACACAAAGGCCCAGAGACGGGGAAGTGTAGTGTGTGAAACCAAAGGGACTGGGAGCATGATAGACAGGAAGCTTACTGGACAGAATATAAGGATCCCTAGTGTATGCAATGTACTCAGCCTCCAGAAGTTATGAAGTGTGCTATCCCTGAGAAGAAAAATGTAAACAACACATTTACAGCTATTAATTTGGAAGCAGTGGGGCAAACATTTCACTGACTGGATGTCTCTAACCGGTGAAGAAACTTTGATGGTCATTTATTCAAGTATTCAGCTGTTTTCTATCACTGCTTGACATTAGTCAGTAATGACAGGTGATGTATAAATAGAAATAGTCAGCAGTTCTAATGTAACTAATTAAAGATTTGCAAACCTCACCGTGTTTGCGTTCACTTTTGATTTAGCAACAGCTGGAGAAAGTTTGTGTATCACAAATGTTTGCAACACACTAATTGAGTAATTGTCACTGAGCTGGGAAGATTGCCAATACAACTAATGGCAGCTTTCACAACTGAAAATAAACTTATGTAGTTCATCCCCCAGATTTTTAGTGTGGGGATGAGTGTATTTAATCACACTGCCATACAGTTCTGTAAATTATTTGATCAAGGAAACAAAAATAAGAATATCCCTGAAGACCAGCTCTCTGGACTCTTCATTAATCTTAAACATGGGCCAGTGATATTTAAGTGATGATTCCAATGCTAAGAAAACTTAGATGAGGCAGTTTTTCCTGGTCTCTTGCCTACACTTATAAATAATGAGAACACTGAAGGCAATTATATGATTACTGACTGCAATGATCAAACTGCACTAAGTGAAAAGAAAAATGTTGAGAAATACTCAGCCATAGAGAAGGGTTAAGGGAATTTCCATTCTTAATCTGGTCTGCTTTAGGTTCTGGAAGCTGAAATGGGAAGTACTTGATTAAATGCTAAGTAGTTCCCTGTACTGGAGACCAGGAATGAGTCCTAAGAAGAAAATGATTAAAATCTCATGGTCCCATTAAAACTGATGGAGAGCTATACAGCTGAATCTTCAGCCTCAGATCTGAGGAAATAAGTATTTAAGCTAGTATCAGACTGGGAGGAAAGTGAAATAAACTTGTCCAGTTTAAAGACACTATTAAATCAATTGCCTAAGTATAATATTTGTTGAACTTAGTGCTCCTTACTAAACAAAACCCACAAAATACCGACAGCTCCTTTCCCAATGAGCATGCAATCTAAACAAGACTGCCACACATTAGAAAGGAGATGACAGGAAGTTGAGAGAAAACGGTGAGTGATTTTTAAATATTTTTTATTTTTTTTCTGTCCATATTTTTGTTGATTCCTTTCTGGTAGGCCCTTTACAAAAAGTAAATCCTGAGGCAGTACCAGAAAGACTTGTACCACTGGCTTGGCAGAGCACATGCATCCAGGAGACATGGCAGAAAGACCTATAGTAGGTGTGTGGGAGATTGAGAATAGCCTCAATGTTAGAGTGGCAGGGTCACTGAAAAGGCAAAATGTCATGTGGCAGAAGTATATACAACCCTTTAAGCAAGAACAAGAAGTTAAGAGTTGGTGGAAAGATTCAGAGGCCAGGTATGATGTGGGGCCAGATCCAGATAATAATTGCAACTGTATTTTTAATAGATTGGACGGACAATAATATGATATTTAAGTGGCCAAAGAATTATGAATATTTGCACAATGATTAAATTATGTACAGCCATATGTTATAGAGAAATATTCCTTGGAAGATCAAGAGAGCAATCAGAAAGGTGAGCTACCACTTTAATTTACACCATGAAGCATCTCAACAATTTTAGATGTCATGAGAAGACAGATGGGAGGAGGAGAGGTGAAGACCAAGTGTTTTCCTCTGTTTTTATAGCTCAATTTCTTGTGCTAGAAACATCCTTGCTGAATTATGGTAACACACAGTCCATTTGGGCATGACATTTCAATTGTGCCTGTGATTAAATGTAAATTTCTTGTTTGTACCTTCCATCCTGCTAGAGGATGGCCACTTAAAGTGGGTGATGGTCCTTTAATATCTATTGGGGTGCTAGTGTATTTCTGCCTTTGAAAAGCTGATTTGTGCATATTACCCAGAATTACCATATATTTCAGTAACAGTCACATAGTTGAACGCTATAACTTTGCACATAGTGTCACTATACATATTTTAACAGGATAATGAGATTCAGCAGATTGACTTTTCAAATGATACCTCACAAGGCATACTTGATACAAAATCCATCATAGTCTTATAAAAATGGTGACCATAAGAGCATAGGCTGTCACAGAGGCTCAGAACCCCCTAAGAGTACCAGCACAATCCCAGCCAGACAAACTTCAGGATCTTCTTCTGGAGGCTGGCCATGGTTCCCAGAGGCAAGTGGTACCTAGGTGGCAAAGGCAACTAAGGAAATAGGTATCAAAAGGTGACCTCTGTATCAGGTAGCCCCTGTTTCAGAGGCACCCTTTTCTTGCACCTATTACTGGTGTGCTGTAATAATACCTCAGTGCACCCTCCCACGATGCAGTGGAAATAATATAGAAGGACACTCTAGGTAAATTAACAAATGTATTAAAGGATTAAAATTACAATAACTGGGAAAATGGAAAATTTAAACGAGACTCAAAAAACACCACCACAAACAATAGTAAGCATTCTTAATCAACAATAACTATATAACAGTGCAGGGATTACATCAAAGAGGCATGAAGCCTAGGCCCAAATACCCCCTTTGGCTAGAAATAAAGGAAGAGATGATAGCAAAGAACCCAAAGAAAAAAAACCCATTTACATTGGGAGGCACCAATGGTGCTGTGCAGCCAAGGCTTGGGACCTTCTACCTTTGAGCTAGTTTGAAGCTCTCAGGGAGGAACTCCAGGGAGATCGCAGTGGAGATCTTCTAGGATGGTGGTGGATCACTGATGGTATATCTTCTCCCTCTCTAGTCACAGCCGTTATGGTGGTCCGGTGCTGACAGGAACACAGATGGAAAAGACCACACCCTCCAGCAGCTGTGCAGATCCTTACATCTTTTCTGTGGCATGAAACTCTGAGGCAATGGCATGTTCCGATTGGACAGGAAAAACTAGTTCTGGCTGATGAGAGCCAGCACAGCTCAGAGTCTTCTGCTGCTCACAGGCATTTTAATCAAAATGAAGTCCTTAGTCAAAAGTTCACTGCCTCCATTTTGAATGGCTTTAGTCCTAACAGGTTCTAGATGTTGAACGGGTACCCGATTTTTTGAGAGAACCAGCTGATAGAATAACAGCACTCTGTCCTGAAGGGAAAGACACAAGTGAAACACCATCCATATGCATAACCAGTCAGTCACTTAGCCCGTAGATTATTCCAATAGTCCAGTGGGGAGAGATTGGTGGCTGAAAGGTAGACCCATAGACCATTGGACCAATGCCCCCATTGGCTGGCTCAGAGTGCCAGTGAAAGGCAGCCTACCTTCCACCTATCCCTGATCATCAGACAGAGCTCTTGACCCAGCTGATTTGGGTGAAGAAGACCATCAAATAGAGGGTTTCCATCTATGCCAAGGCCCCCTGGTTCTGAGCCACGAGGAACACATCATTGGCGTCCAACAACAGGATCACTTGCAGGTCTTGTTCCCACAAAATCAACTCTCATAGGGTATGTCTACACTGCCACCCTAGTTCGAACTAGGGTGGTTAATGTAGGCATTCAAACTTGCAAATTAAGCCCGGGATTTAAATATCCCGGGCTTCATTTGCATGTCCCGGGTGCTGCCATTTTTAAATGCCCCGTAGTTCGAGCTACCTGCCCAGGAATCAAAAGTGGCAAGTTTGGGTTAAGTGACATGACTTGAAATACATAGGAACTCTGTGGGCACAGCCGGGATAAAATCCAATTCTGCTGGTCTGTGTTCAGCTGCCTTAATCATAAGGCTGTAATCCTCCCTCATTTGCTTCACGCCTTCTAACCTGATATACAAGCAAGCCACACACACCCTGCCGACTAATCAGAGGGAATGCTGCAACCTCAGACACAGGCACATTGCCTTGCTCCCCAGTATGGACTACAAGGTCATAGTGAAAGCCATCTCACTCTGGCTGGTGTCCCTGATGGCAGATGTGATGCACCCTTGCAAGAGCTACCACCATCCCAAAATGGAGCAGGAGAAGATGTCTGACAAGATGGATCACAGGTATTTAATAGACATTCTGGGCCATTTGGCATCAGGCCCTGCTTAGTCAGACCCTGCTTTCTGCAAGTGCTTCATACCTTGTTAGAGCATCTGATCAAGCTCATCTGAGTCATGGCTGAACCTGTCTTTAGTCCAGCAGTGCACCAGGCTGACTGCTCTTTAGCCAAATCTTTACCATCACCATTGGGCCCCTTTCTCTGCGTCCTTCATAAGAAGATATGGGTATGTCTACACTGCCACCCTAGTTCGAACTAGGGTGGCTAATGTAGGCATTCGAACTTGCAAATGAAGCCCGGGATTTAATTATCCCGGGCTTCATTTGCATGTTCCTGGGCGCCACCATTTTTAAATACCCCGTAGTTAGAACTCCCTGCCCGCGGCTACACGCGGCACGGACTAGGTAGTTTGAATTAAAGCTCCTAATTTGAACAACCATTATTCCTCCTGCAAGGAGGTTTTACGGTACAGGCAGTCCCCGGGTTACGTACAAGATAGGTACTGTAGGTTTGTTCTTAAGTTGAATCTGTATGTAAGTCAGAACTGGCGTCAGCCACTGTTGAAACTGATCAGTTTCAACAGCGGCTGAATCTGGACGCCAGTTCCGACTTACATACAGATTCAACTTAAGAACAAACCTACAGTACCTATCTTGTACGTAACCCGGGGACTGCCTGTACCGTAAAACCTCCTTGCAGGAGGAATAATGGTTGTTCAAATTAGGAGCTTTAATTCAAACTACCTAGTCCGTGCCGCGTGTAGCCGCGGGCAGGGAGTTCTAACTACGGGGTATTTAAAAATGGTGGCGCCCAGGAACATGCAAATGAAGCCCGGGATAATTAAATCCCGGGCTTCATTTGCAAGTTCGAATGCCTACATTAGCCACCCTAGTTCGAACTAGGGTGGCAGTGTAGACATACCCATATCTTCTTATGAAGGACGCAGAGAAAGGGGCCCAATGGTGATGGTAAAGATTTGGCTAAAGAGCAGTCAGCCTGGTGCACTGCTGGACTAAAGACAGGTTCAGCCATGACTCAGATGAGCTTGATCAGATGCTCTAACAAGGTATGAAGCACTTGCAGAAAGCAGGGTCTGACTAAGCAGGGCCTGATGCCAAATGGCCCAGAATGTCTATTAAATACCTGTGATCCATCTTGTCAGACATCTTCTCCTGCTCCATTTTGGGATGGTGGTAGCTCTTGCAAGGGTGCATCACATCTGCCATCAGGGACACCAGCCAGAGTGAGATGGCTTTCACTATGACCTTGTAGTCCATACTGGGGAGCAAGGCAATGTGCCTGTGTCTGAGGTTGCAGCATTCCCTCTGATTAGTCGGCAGGGTGTGTGTGGCTTGCTTGTATATCAGGTTAGAAGGCGTGAAGCAAATGAGGGAGGATTACAGCCTTATGATTAAGGCAGCTGAACACAGACCAGCAGAATTGGATTTTATCCCGGCTGTGCCCACAGAGTTCCTATGTATTTCAAGTCATGTCACTTAACCCAAACTTGCCACTTTTGATTCCTGATTGTGTGTGCTTCATTTTCTGAGTGCTTGACTTGAGATCTGGGGTATGATTTGCATAAATGCTGAACATTCACAGCTGCAAATGAAGTACATAATGTTAAATACTCTGAAAAAATCTGGTCCCATGTGTCTTAGAATTAGACTAAGGCTGCCCACTACAATTTAGTGGATATTTTTTACTTTAAACATTCTGTGCCTCCATTTCCCATATGTAAAATGAAGACAATACCCACTTCCTGGATGATATTGTGAAAATAAGTTCATTGGTGTTTGCAAATCATTTGGATACCATAATGATTAGTGCCATAGAAAAGCCTATGAAGAAATTAATAAATCCAATATAAAGTGAAAAACAAAACAGAATCATCTCAATAGCGTGGCCTTGGCTAAAAAGTAATAAAAGCAAAATTGAATTTGATTAAATAGAAGATAATAAGATATGTGAATGTCAAATTAACTGGGGATTTTGTGTGCCCTTTTCTGATCACTGCAACTACAAAGCCATTAGTACATCTAAAAAAGAAAGCTCTTCAATTATTGGGTGATTGTCTAGTGAACAAGACTGTGCTGACTGATCACTGTTCAAAGAATACAAATGTAGGCGTGTCAGAATCAGGGGGGCTGTCAGAATTGCTGTCCCACTGATCCAAGTGGGGGGGGGCAGCTCTTTGTTCCCAGAAGGGGTGGGGCTTTGAGTAACAGGGGCATGTCTGGAGCTAGCCTCACTAATGCCAGCCCTTCAGCACTACCTAGAGCACACCTAGGGCGTAGAGTGTGCTGTGTGGGCCTCTGGAACAAATTTGAAGGTCTGGGGCTGAAGTAGTTGGGAGCCCCAGGCCCTTTTGAATTGCACAAAGCAACTGGCTCTTTTGCCTCCCACGTCAGTGGGCCTGAATACAAAGGGCCTGAATAATCAGAGTCTGAAGAAGAAGAAAACAGACAAAAACACCTGAATACAGTTTTACAATGGAAAGTAGCGATGATCAAATGAATGAATTAGTCTCCAAAGATTTGAAAGATAAAATCCCTCATATCTAATAAAAAATAAACATGATAGGAATCTTCTCTATTTAAAGAACAAGCAAAGACAAGACTTATATTACAGTATCTCTGAGGCACTGTAGCATACAATACTTGGAGTTACCCAATAAATAGAATAATCTCAATGTCACATGCATAAAAATGTGCCTTGTTCTAACTATAAAACAATTTTACATTTAGAAAAGTTTGTTAAAATTTGCTTTCCCTTTGGGAGAGTGATGTATATATCTGCAAAAAAAAGGGGGGGGGGGAATAAAATTATCAAACCCCAAGTCATCTACTATATCTTTACTGAATTGGCAGACTTGTGTCATTAAAAGATTATTGCAGCAAAATTCTTGCTACCACCCACATTAATTGAAGGTACTAAAAGTAATAGAGCTTTTATAGTTGTTTTAAACTACCAAATATGTGGGCTAATTACTTCCAGAATTAACTGCTAATAAGTGCTATAGAAAACTATGGTCATCACCAACTATCTATTCATCTCCACATCCTATGCCTAGTTACCTCCCTGTTCTCCAGTTGCAGAATATGAGTAGCTCCCAGAAGAACCAATTATATCTTATAATAGGAGAATGTGCCCCATGTTATTAAAGGCCTGCATATATTAATCCTAGTTCGTATTTTTTCTCTCTCATCTCACATTAACCAACTGCTAAGACCCTATCCATGCCTTCGCTATGATTTACATGGTTCTGGAGTTGATCGATTACTTATGGGCTGTGTCTAAACTTGCCAGCTGTCTACACTGGCCGTTTGAATTTCCGCAAAAGCACTGATGATCTCATGTAAGATTGTCAGTGCTTTTGCGGAAATACTATGTTGCGCCCGTTTGGGCAAAAGTCTTTTTCTGAAAAACTTTTGCGCAAAAGGGCCAGTGTAGACAGCGGAGATTTGTTTTCCGCAAAAAAGCCCTGATCGTGAAAATGGCAATCGGGGCTTTTTGCGGAAAAGCACGTCTAGATTGGCTACGGACACTTTTCTGCAAAAAGTGCTTTTGTGGAAAAGTGTCCTGCCAATCTAGATGCGCTTTTCCGAAAATGCTTTTAACGGAAAACTTTTCCGTTAAAAGCATTTCTGTAAAATCATGCCAGTGTAGACGTAGCCATACAGTCCCATCACAGTCTTCCTCTCTTTCTTCTCTTTCAGAGAAAATTAGTTACTTTTTGTCTTAAAAAAAAAAGCCTTAAAATCCTCCTTTCCTACTCTGCTCCTGACTAGAAGCAGATCTGGACTAGAAACTTGGATCTGAGATCACTGACTTTTTCAGGAAGTTCAGATCTCAGGGTATGTCTACACTTGCACCCTAGTTTGAACTAAGGCTGCAAATGTAGACATTCGAAATAGTCAATGAAGTGGGGATTTAAATATCCCATGCTTCATTAGCATGATCTCATCAGCGTGTTACTCCGATCAACAGCTGTTTTGAAAATGAAAGTGCGTGCCGAGACGCGTTAGTTCGAACCAAAAAATGAGGAGTAACATTAGTTTGAACGAAGGGGTTTGGTTCAAACTAACTCAACCCAGCATGTACTTTCACTTTCGAAACAGCTGTTGATCGGAGTAATGTGTCAGCGAGATCATGCTAATGAAGTGAGGGATATTTAAATCCCTGCTCCATTAACTATTTTGAATGTCTACATTTGCATCCCTAGTTCAAACTAGAGTGCAAGTGTAGACATACCCTCAGTTAGAACACTGTGGCTTATGCTCATCCCTCTGTAATATTTGTATGAGGTTGAATTTAGGACACTATATACAAATAATACTTATTCTATTGTATAGTAAGGCCATATTTTCACTTCCTGGAAGATTGACGCTGAGACAGTCAATCTTACAGAGTTCAATTTAGTGGGTGTAGTAAAAACCCAATAAATTGAACACTAAGGCTGTGTCTACACTGGCACCCTTTTCCGTAAAAGGGATGCTAATGAGACACTTCGGAATTGCAAATTCCATGGGGGATTTAAATATCCCCCGCGACATTTGCATGAACATGGCTGCCGCTTTTTTCCGGCTCGGGGTTTTGCCGGAGAAAAGCACCAGTCTAGATGGGATCTTGCGGAAAATAAGCCCTATTCCTTTTCAAGTAGGAATAAGGGATCTTCCGGAAAAGGGCTTATTTTCCAAAAGATCCCGTCTAGACTGGAGCTTTTCTCCGGCAAAACCCCGAGCCGGAAATAAGCGGCAGCCATGTTCATGCCAATGCAAATGCCGCGGGGGATATTTAAATCCCCCGTGGAATTTGCAATTCCGAAGTGTCTCATTAGCATCCCTTTTACAGAAAAGGGTGCCAGTGTAGACACAGCCTAAGGGTGCCCGCATTAATGACAGAACTCCTTGTCCTCATGAGGAGTAAAGAAAATCAATAGGAGCATTTCTCCCATTGACCTCCTACCTGTGAGGATGGTGCCAAAGCTTGCCTTAAGGTACATCGACACCAGCTACGTTACAACTGAGAGATTGTGGTAGTGTTCTTTTGAAAACTGTAAGACAACTGAATCTATTTGCTGAAGTCTCCTCAACTGCTGTTTCAGTTTTTGATAATACAAAGTAGAATAAAACAGATCAGTCTGCATGAAAAACATTAACCTCGTTTGCACTATAGAAAAGCTCAACTATTTTAGCAACCATTTTTCTTAGTAATAGTAGTCCTATGTGACACACAGGAATTAGATCAAGAAGCTACAATAGCTGAGATACTAGGAAATAAGCTGGAGTCTCCCTACACATGGAAGAGTTATTTTAGCTTTAGTGTGTCAGCTTTTGCAAATGTAAACTAATGAGGGATCCACAGATGTGTCCACATGTCAGGCAGGCATGGCCGCATATTTATTCACAGCACATAGCCTGCTTTCTTTGCTCATACTTCTTTGACTTCTCACTGCCAAATCATTGCCACTTAGCATCAGCTCAGAGTCCTGTGTGAAATGAGCAAGGGGACATGGGTCTCTCCCAGTTCACTCCCTAACTGACAGATGAGCATCACAAATATATAGTAAAGTTGGCAAGGAAATGAGTCCAGTTACTGGCAGTCTCTCAGAATGGTCCAGGATTAAAGAAAGGGGATCTACCGTTGCTTTTTTCCCCTCCAAAATGGGAGGGTTTTAGTTATGTTGGTAAGGGGAAGATTCCGTCATGCTGTGGTTGAAGAGGTATTTTTTCGTAAATTCCATATTTACTTTAAAAATCCCATATTTTCCCTATTATTCAACTTGTTAAAGTTCTGAGGATGAGCTTTTGCACAAGAAAACCTGGAAAACCAGTGTTTGTAAGAAACAGGGTCAGTGGCTGGGCCTGGAAAACCGCCAATTTTACATAAGGGATCTCAGGCAGATGCTACATTTGTTTTCATTTTTCTATCAAAAATTTCAGTCTGAGGGATCTGCAGAATTCACTTTCAATTAGTTTAACACCATGGAGAGAAGGAAAGAATAGGGACTGTCACATGAGCATCTTATACTCCTGTGCTTAATAACTTCAGCGTAAGTACTATGGCAGTACTCTCTTTCATTTCTACTGAAAATAATAATTTGGCTTGAGCTGTGGATCTATGAGTCACTAGAAAGAGAGCAGTTTCAGAGATGTACAAGGTTAATCTCTTTATCTATATAAACAGATTTTAAGGCAGTACAAGTTGAAGCTCCCTAGTCCAACACCCTTGGGACCAGAGTGGTCCCAAACAAAGGAATTTGCCAGACCAGAGGAGGTCAAACATCAGAGCTCTCCTGGGGCTTCCCTCCTGGCAGCTGCCCTGGGAGAACCAAGAGGCCTGAACTCCTTCGGCTCACCTGCCTAGATCAGCTGCTCCCAGACCCTTTGCAGGGCTCTGCTGCCTGCCCCCAGTGGGGTGGTAGCTGCTCCCAAGGTTCCTTGGCCCTGAGTGTGCGATGGCGGTGGCATCTGTTCTTGGGGTTCTCTGGCCCCATGCACAGCAGCAACAACTGCTCGCAGTGTTCCCCAGCCCCACGCATGACGACAGGTCCCAGGGCTCTCTACCCCCAGGTCCCTGCCCCTGAAGGCTCCCACCAACCAAACTGGCTCTGCTCCCTGCAGCTCTCAACCTCTGCAGCTGGGGCTCTTTGGTCTAGCAACATCCGTGATCCTGTTGGATCACGGATGTTGCCAGACCAGGAAGTCTTGGACGAGGGAGTTTCAACCTGTAGTTCATGATCAGAGGAACTCCCACATCTTTTAGAAACGCCCTTAGTTGCTGGGAGACCAAACTGTAATTCTGAAACAGTCACCAATTGGGTAATGAGCCCATGTGGTATGTTTTTGAAGTGCAGTATGTGCTATGGCTAGTTAAGAGATTACATTTCTGGATATTACTGTGCTCAATACAAACACCCTCAGGAGGAACCCAGCAACTCCAGGCCTCAATCAGTAGGAGATAATCTCTTTGTTATACTCTTTATATATTTCACCTTTTTCCCCCTCCATCTCTGGAATGTACACAACATTGATCTCAGATCTGGGTAAGGCTTTTGCATGACAAGATGCAAGGGATCTTTGGGAGCCCAAGCACCGTTCTCTCTGTTCCAATCAAGGTACATGGGCTGGATGTTGGATTTGTTCCCAAGGGAGTAGAAGAGAGAAAAACCCCATCCCTTTCAAACACAGCGTAAGTGTAAAAAAGGAGAGACAGTTCTAAAACATGGAACATTGTATGGTGGCAAACAGTATCTGTGAAATCTTATAAACCTAATGTGATATAATGGAAAAGATTGATTTCAGATTCCTTTACGTTCCCCTATTCTTTTTCTGCTGTATATTTTCTTTACTTTTAATGAGTACTGCCTTTTGCTTTCCTCAAATGTTGCCTAATATTTTGTATTATCATGCATGCTGCTTTTTTCAGCTAATTGTGTTTCATTTATATTGATCAAGCTTGATTAGACTAAAACATTTTAAAATATAGTGGACCCAATGCATTGCTGACTCCAGTGGAAGTTGAAGAGCATGCAGCCACATAAAGGAAGGGGACAAAAGTTCAACTCATAAAATCTGTCCTTGAAGATTTTACATAACTTCCAAAAGTCAGGTGGCAGTAAAGGTTGGTTTCTCATCTATCTTCCCAATTCGGTGTAAGGACTGGGACAGTGATATGCACACCCTGGAAAAGAATGCATGCTGGAGCAGAAATTATTAATAGGAGAGATTTGGCTTCCTTGACAATGGGATGATCTTTCAAGAACAAGGATTACTGGGAAGAGATGGGATCCACCTAACCAAGAAAGAGAAAAGCATTTTTGTACACTAGTGCGAGAACCTAGTGAGGAAGGCTTTAAACTAGGTTTATGGGGAAGAGGTGACAAAAGTGTACAGGTAGATATATAAAAAAAACAATCTTAATGGAGGGCTAGATGCTAGGAGACGGGCTGCAATCACCATTTCTGCTGCCTGCTCTTCAGCTCCTTGTTTTAACCTCAAATTAATTTGGACCTGGCGTCCCAACATAAACTCTGAAATCTGACTTGGATCCTTGGTATTAATGAAGTCCTGGAACATGCTTAGCATGTCCCAACTGGTCTCAGCCTCAGGTTTGACCCTGCTCCAACCTGTGGTTGTGACTGTCCTTGCCAGGATCCTGACAATTTGCCTGGACCAACCTACCCCTTGATGAAGGCCTACTCCGGGGAACATGGAGACTGCAGGTTATTCCCTGCCTGGCATGCCCCAGAGCAGTGGTTTTCAAACTTTTTAGGTTTTGTATCCCTTTCCAAATAACGTATTCTATTGCGTACCCAATTTGATGTAGCATCATAATATACCCAAGATTAGATTACCAAGCCTTACTAAATAAAAGGCATTGTTTATCATTACTGAATGTTTTTCCTCACATATCTCAAGGGATAAGAGTTCACATAACTTAATTTGAAAAGAAGAAGTTACTCACCTTGTGAAGTAATGATGGTTCTTAAAAGTGTATGTCACCATGGATTCTCCACTGTGGGTGTCGGGCTTGTCCCGGCACTGCAGATTGGAGATCTTTTAGCCATTGTCTGCCGGACTGTGCATGCATGGTGGCCATCTTGCGGCTTTTCATGCCATTTCTGGTCGCGCGGTGCAGCTCCCGCCAGTTCCTCCTGATCGTCGAGGTCTGAAAGACATAAACAACAGACTCCAAAAAGGGGAGGAGAGCAGGTCGTGGAGCACCGATGGGGGGACACACCTCGAAGAACTGTCGTTACTGCCCAAGGTGAGTAACTTCTTCTTCGGGTAGTGCCCCATGGGTGCTCCACTGTGGGTGACTTCACAGCAATAGCCGAAGTAAAGGCGGCAGGTTCAGAGTTAATGGGTTGATGCTGTGGAAAGTACTGCGGTGGCTACCGCTGTGTCAGCCATAAGGATGTTTTGTAGCGTGTAGTGCAGTGTTTCCCAAATGGTGCTCCACGGAACCCTGGGGTTCTGCGATGCGAACGTAAGGGTTCCATGAGAACCCGAACGCTCCCCTCCCCCCGCCCATAAAGAGACAGAGGAGCCCGACACGCAAAGACGCTGGCTCCTTCCCTGCTCCCCTTTCAGACATCTCCCGCGTCCCCCGCTGCCGCTCTGCTTTTACCACTGTTGCTGCTGCTAGGTCCGGTGGTAAAAGCAGAGCGGCAGCGGGGGACGCGGGAGAGGGATCTTGGGTTGATCGGGCAGAAGCGGGACAAGCAGCTGTTGCTGCTGCTAGGTCCGGTGGTAAAAGCAGAGCGGCAGCGGGGGACGCGGGAGAGGGATCTTGGGTTGATCGGGCAGAAGCGGGACAAGCAGCTGTTGCTGCTGCTAGGTCCGGTGGTAAAAGCAGAGCGGCAGCGGGGGACGCGGGAGAGGGATCTTGGGTTGATCGGGCAGAAGCGGGACAAGCAGCTGTTGCTGCTGCTAGGTCCGGTGGTAAAAGCAGAGCGGCAGCGGGGGACGCGGGAGAGGGATCTTGGGTTGATCGGGCAGAAGCGGGACAAGCAGCTGTTGCTGCTGCTAGGTCCCGTGGTAAAGGCAGCCAGTGTGTGTGTGGAGGGGGGGGGAGTACTAACTACTTTCTCCTTCAAAATTTTTTCCAGGAGGAAGGGATGGAAGGGGGTGGGGACACAAATGGGATCACGTAGCCTGATGTTATAAGCTGCATGACCCATCAGTCTGATGTTATTGTGGCCCAACGATGTTGGAAGGGTCTTAAGCAATGGTGAAAGTGCGCATTGGTGACACTGTGACTGGGCAACAAGTGGATGGTTTGCAATCCCTCGATGCTGCAGCGGCACAGGAGCCAAGCAAACAGAGCTGTAAACAGGGGAGTTTGAGTGGGAGTTTGTAAGGGGAGTTTGGATATTGAAACCTGTTTGGAGTTTGTTTTTGCTGTGGAGAGGGTGTTTTGGTTTGTTTTTGTGTTCAGCGGACTAATAGGATTTTGGTGAGAAAGTAGATAAAACACAGGCATTAGTGGCCATGGCCCAAGTAGTAGAGAACACAAGGAGGATGATTGGATGTGGTAGCTGCGGTATGTACATGATTCTGGAGGGGGTACCTGAAAGGAGTTTTGTTTGCATGAAGTGCCGCCTGATAGAGCTGATGGAAGAAAAGATCAGAGGACTGGAGATGCAGGTGGAAACTCTGGTCGAGTTTAGAAGGGGGTTTGAGCAGATGATGGGGCAAAGGCATGACGTGGCTGAAGGGGAAAGCTTAGATATGCAGATGGAAGCAGGTTCAAGGGCCTCAGAGGGGGGACTGCTGGGCAAAGAAAATGGACAGTGGAAGCATGTGACTCAGAGGACCAGGCAGAGGAAAAGATGGGTCAGTGAAGGAAAAATAGAGCTCAAGAACAGGTATGTGGAGCTGGAGAATGAAGAAGGGGTACAGCAGGTAGATAATGAAGATGGAAGGGTAAAGAAGAAGAGAAGAGTGGCTAGTCCCATAGATAAAGGGGAAGACTTAATGGAGACAACACCAATACTGAGCATTAGGATTACAAGAGAAAATAGGAATGGCAAGGAATTGCAGCCAGAGTAAGCTAGAGATAGACCAGAGAATTACACTGTCACTAGGAAAAGGCAGGTCTATGTGATTGGGGACTCCTTATTGAGAAGAATAGATAGGCCTGTAACCAGAGCTGATTCAGAGAATAGAAGGGTGTGCTGTCTGCCAGGTGCTAAGATACGAGATGTGGAACTGAGGTTGAAGTGGATGCTAAAGGGAGCGGGAAAGAATCCATTGATCATCCTTCATGTAGGAACAAATGATATGGCTAGATTCTCACTGGAACGAATCAAGGGAGACTATGCTAGGCTGGGGAGGATGCTCAAGGAAATTGAGGTTCAGGTGATCTTTAGTGGGATTCTGCCTGTTCCTAGAGAAGGGCAACTAAGATGTGACAGGATTATGATGATCAATAGATGGCTTAGGCAGTGGTGCTATAAGGAGGGCTTTGGGATGTATGGTCACTGGGAGGCATTTATGGACAGAGGACTGTTCTCTAGAGATGGACTTCACCTAAGTAGGGAGGGAAATAGAATTCTAGGGCGGAGGCTGGCTCAACTTATTAAGAAAGCTTTAAACTAGGAATTTGGGGGAGACGGTTGGGAGATGCCCAGGTAATCTCTACGCCAGATTTTAACACTGAGAGGGAGGAAAACGAAGTAAGAAAGGATATAGCTGGGGGTAGGAGAATGAAC